GCGAATTTGCGGGAGGTGGCGCGCAGGGAGAGGGTGGAGAGAGGGGGGAGGTGGGAGGAGGTGAGGTAGAGGAGTTCTGGCGGGAGGGCGTAGAGGGGGGAGTGCGTTGTATTGTGGGATTGTGCTGCGAGGGCCCCTGAGTTGGGAGGGGTGGGAGAGAAGTATGAGAATGGGTTGAGGGTTTTGAGGGAACTGATTGTGGGGCCCATGCTTGGTTGCGAGGGTTCTAGAATTGATGAAATGGTTGGGTATATGAGGGCAGTCTGAAAGAAGGCTGAGGTGGGAATTATGTAGTTGATTGATGCCTAATTTGAAGCTGCGACGTTGACATAAACGCCACGCCAGCTGAATGGGGCTTGGTAGTGCAGCCTAGGGATCCAAAAGGAAACGTATGAGAGCACTTCTACAGAATTAATTAGATGCGTTTTTAGGGCCAGGTGCTCGCGTGAGATTTAATAGGCCGAGAGTTTGACATTCAATGTAAAATCGACAGATTGAAGAGGTGCACCCCTGACGTTGCCATCCGCGTGGCAAAAGTGCTCCATCGAAGAACCTCAAAATCCCAGCGATTGAAATCGAACATGTTTGAGCGCTACGATTGCGCATGAGGACAGATAGTCGAAGGCACCTCAACACGATTTCAGTATACCCAGCAACGCTCGAAATCACTCACAGTTTGGAGTCATGTGACCAAGGAAACCCATATCAATTCCAATTTATGGTATCATTATTATACAAAAGCACACTCCTCTTCACACGCTGAAGCCCTTCGACCCCTCAAGCAGGCCGTCAGCGTACTTGGTTGCTATGCTCCAGATTGGCATGTAGTGCCGAACCTCAGACAATGCTGCTATGGAGAAGTCGTTCGCGTCGGACCAGAGGCAGATTATGCTACCTGAAAGCGGCTCTCGGAACTCCCCACCCCAGTTCACGTCGAAATCCCAGGCTTTTGACCAGTCACGATGCCACAGGCGGACCTCAGTGGACCCATTCTGGCCCGCTGTGGGGAAGCGTGAATCAGGCGCTCCCCCTTCTACCTCCAATGAGGTGATGGGCGTGTTGAAGACGGCCTTGCAGGCGCGCGTGTTCTGCCCAACAATGTGGAAACGGGCCTGATTCTTACCCGGCGTCTTGGTGACATTGAAGTTGAGCCATGAATCGATGTAGGTGCGGTTGCCAGTTGTCACGCTTATTGGATGAGCTTGGGGCCCCTTCCAAGAGCATTTGATTAGCTCCTTGCGAATTGCGATGTCCGGAGTGGTGCAGTTAAGGGCCTGTCCAGCGGCACTAGGGACCTGGGCTACGATTTGCTGCACGTATTGATCCAGGCCGATGAGAGACACAGAATTAGAGCCGGTTTCGCAGTTAGTCTGCTGCTGGAAGTAGACCTTCAGGCGATGGTCCCGGGAGAATGGGAATGCGCAAAGGTTGTAGATAAGCGTACCAATGCAGACGAGGAAGATAAAGGCTGGGACATGGTACGTGAATCTATGTAAGAAGGGACCAAGCGGTGACAGGATGAGCGCCGAAAGAATTGCGATAGCGACGTAGACCAATAAGGCTGAGCTGCCGTCCGCTGTGGTCTGATACAATCCTGTCGTAAGAACTAATCCAATTTGGCCGATCAAGATTATGACAATGGGAGCGAGCAACAAGAACTGGAGAATCCACAGCCAGCTGGGGAGACTTCCGCTCCAAGCTTGCTCATCAGTGTAGTGATTTCCGAAATCTTGTTTAGGGTGGTCTTCGTCTTGTGTATGTCCTTCACTCACAGACTCGCGTCGGGTGCCGTATCGTGCGAAGCTTTGCCTATCATTACGAAGTAGAGACGTGGTTTCCGTGTCGGTATCATCGTCTCGTAAGAGTGGTCGGTCTTCCGAGATGCGGCTAGCCCCGCCCGTCAATGGCCTACTGGTGGATTCGGAGTCGATATGACTAGCACCGTCATCAAAAGAGCTCACGAAGATGCTCTTTTTGGGAAGAGCAAAGAGCTCGAGGTATCCGATGAGGACCGACAGAAAGGTTGCGGCGAAATATATAAGCATGAAGTAGCCCGACGCCAAGTCGAAGTTACGAGCAGCAACGGTGACAAGAACCAAAATGACAAAGCCACCAGCGAACAGCCAAATGAGAGAGTAGAGGCGATGGAGAGCGGAGGGTCTCATAGCATCGGCACCGCGAAGTATAAACCATGCGACCGAATACCAAGCTGACAACATCATGACCCATATGGCGAAAGGGCTGCTATACGCAATGTAGGGATTGACCCGGAGGACAAGGTATGCCAGGCCGATGACAGCGGCCGTCGCGACGACGAACGCAATTGGGAACCGGAATACTCCACGCCATCCGTTGATCTCAACAGCTTCGTTGTCGTCTTCTGAATGCACGTACTGTTTCCTTGCGAAGAGGTACATCTTGTCGACTTTGGCGAGGATAACAGTAACAGCAATGAGAGCTAACGGAGCCACAACCAGGAGAGTTACGCAGAGAGCAAACATGGTGTTGAGACGCAGAATGACAAAAGCTTTACCAAAGAGGTCAAACCACACAGCTTGAGGGCCTTTTCCTGCATCCACCTTTCCATCGCTTGTGGTCTCGCCACTGCCGTCGAAGGTCGAGCTGGTGTCCGAAGCAAGACCGGAGACTGTAGCCAGAGCGGCCGATAGCATATGCCAAACCGATTTCATCGAAGTTTCGCGTGCAGAATCCTCGCTGGTGTGGTAACGTGCTCGTGGCTCGTTGAACGCTATGTCCAGTCCTCGGAGACCGAGCAGGCCGTTGAAGACAACATAGTCAGTCTCGCTCCTGATGAGTCGTCGTTTGAACCCATCAGCGCTTACAACTGTACCGTAAGGATTAGATGCTTTCTTGTAGTATTTCGTGACATCCGCATCAGTACTCCTGAACATCATTGCTCGTCCACCAGCTCCTGCGCCCTCGAGATTCAGGAACGTGTGTGCGAGCTGGGACACTGGATGTCGCAGGAAAGCTCTAGCTCCGTTCAAGAAGTCCTCTTCGCCATTGTTGAGAAGCAATACAATATTTCTCTTGGGCCAGCTCTTTTCAGCCGTGAAATGCGAAAGCAACTGCAAGATCGTGACCACGCCAACTCCATCATCAGTTGCGCCGAATCCCGTGCTCACAGAGTCGTAATGTGCATTGACCAAGACGCCACCCTTGCCAGACGAAGAGTCAGAAAATACATTTTCCGTGCCTTCGGATCCTCGAATCAAAACTATGATGTTGGTACCCTCAAAGTAAACGCTGGTTCCCCCGTTGGAGAAGGTGACATTGGAAATCTGATCGTCGAACAAAAGAACTCTTGACTCTGAAGACTCCAAAATCTCGTCGAGGGACAGGTCTGCCGCCCCAGGAATGCTGTCGTAGCTGACGCCATTTGACTTGAGGGTAGTCTTAACGTGGTGCAGTAGGTAATCGTGTACATGGTCGTTGGCGTGGGTGTTATATGGATGGAATTGACTAGTGATGGCCTGAAGATTGCTCCAAGCAGTCGTCAAGTTGATTCCATCTGGGACAGAGGAAGGCACTGGTGGAACAGTCAGGTGGACGACCAGAAGGGCGGCAAACAGGGCTGCATAAGTGAGGGTGGTGACGACAATGACAGGCAGCGGCGTAAAGGCCAGAGGATTGCTGAGGCGTGCCATCTTCAACTCCGACTCGCTCCTAGAAGACGCCTCTAGGGCGTAGCAAGTGATGAGAGCTCCTCTCAGCAGCTGGGGAGCGTGCAGCTTGCAGATGCAGCTTAACTCGAGGTCGAGGATGGTTGGTCGTAGGACGGTGGCGCGGGCGGGGCAGCTATCGAAGCTCTCAGTATCAGTCCGTGCGCCATGGTGCTTTGGTGGGAATCCGCAGTCTGTCGATGCTGAACAGTTGTAAGACAAACTCCAGGGTTCATGATGCCGTGGCCGTTGCTCGTTATTATCCGTCTTGTGTGTTCTCCGCCAGCAAGCCCTTTGAGGCTTATTGGAAGCATGAGCACGACGATCCAACAGAAAGGGGGTGTTCTGGATATCATCGTCCAGGGACTCCCTTCAGCTCCCGACAAGCTTCATGTTATGGCAATGCCCACCTTGACCCGAGCCGACGCGTCTCGTACTGACTAGATATGCCTCCTGGACACAGAGACATGGTAGCAATCGTTGTTGCTGCCCTGTAACAGCTACACGGGAACTCCGAGAGGAAACATCGCAGGAACAGGCATGCGGCGCATCTCCAAGATCGAACTCCAGTACGCTTTCCCGGCAGTATCTCAGGTATGAGCGCTCGCGGGCGATTCATCTGCCATAACTCTATCGAGCCGGCCCGGTGATATTGAGGGTTCTCAATCGTGGGTCAGTCTCCTCCCCATCATGGCCTACATACATCTCCACACTCGCTATTCCATTCAGCAACAATCATCGACCACGACAATCGATATCTCAGAGCTCTGATCTGATATACAGACGTCGTAGTAATAGCAGCAAGCGTTCGGCATCGCGCCTAAGGCTCCTTCGCGTGCGTCTTGGTAGGGTCACAAAATCGGACACCCCGTCAGCATCGCTCTTTTGGCCTTGGGAAAGGGTATGTTAGCAGCACTTCTCCGGGTCCTGGAAACTTCATCAAGTGGACAGCCTCCTAACGCGCGCTTGTGATCTCTCAGCCAATTTCCAGACCTGGGAGCAAGCACGACCAGCATGGCCGCGACGACTCGCAACACCGGGCAAACAGCTCTCCCACCTCTCGATAATAACCTCGTTCATCATCCAGACAGCTGCCTAGGACTCTCCCTTCCCCTCATCGAACGAATAGCGCGAATCCTCCCTCACAACCCACGTACGATCGTCTCCATTGGCAGCGGCACTGGCCTTTTCGAAGCACTTCTCCTTCATCACGAGCCCGACCTCACCTTGTACGGCGTAGAAGTCGGATCCGATCTATCGATAAATAAATACATTCCAGAACAATACACAGAGACAGTCGGTGGAACATGGGACCTCTGTTCCCTCGCGGAGAGTGCGGCGGCTTGGATGTTTGTATATCCAAGAAGTCCAAAACTCGTCGCACAGTATCTCGAACGTTACGCAAGCAGCAAGACTTTGGAGATGGTTGTATGGCTGGGCCCAAGAGAAGACTGGACTGTGTTCGAGCCATGCTTCAGCCGCGCTTCCATGTGCGCGGAAATATCTCAAGATGCCCTGCTGCGGCCATATGAGATGATGGCCATATATAAGACCAAGACATAAAATTGCACACTCCTTGCGATTACTTAGGGAACCCCGATAGGCTCTGAAACTCGGAATACGATGTGGAGGGAGGCAGTGGAACCTAGGCTACCGTTTGACTGATTGAAGGTTTGCTAGTTGAGGCACTCCTTACAGCGGTGCCGAGCGAGCAATTGTGGAGCCTGGGTATTGAATCACCCGTACTGCATCGTACGGGCGCTCTCGATGGATGAATCTCTTGCATGAAAGACGATTTGATGGATTCGTGTTCAATCATTCGACGATATGAATGAGAAATACCTCCAAAATTCGGCTGTCGACGGCCCAGCTCGCGTATGAGTCTGAGTAGCGAAGAGGACTACTAACGCTAAGGGGCTAATTGGCGGTATCATACCCGGCACCTTCATTGGTCCTCGCTTTTTGTTGATTTTCATTCCTGCGACTCTTTTCAATCTTTCCATCCAATACTCCCATCTCTTACTATTTCGTGGAGCACATTTCCTTGCCAAAGATCTGAACACTTCCATTCGTCAGTACTTAGGGTACCCCTTTGACCGCTCAAGGCTCTGAACCAAACGGAAAGGGTTAATGCGGTGGATATCAGGCTGCCTTTCGGCTGGCCAACAACCTGCCAGCTAGAGTCCTCCTTACAGTGGTATGGAGCGAGCAAGAGTAGAGCCCAAGCAGTGGAATATCCGTGTCCCCGACCTTATGACCCAGTACTGCATCTCATTTCAATTCTTCGAGGAACCCCTCCGAAGCGGAGGATCTCTCTAGAACGAATCTCCTTCACAGATAGGTGGTTTACCCCGCCTCTGTTATTGTATTTTCTCTGAAGACGTGCTCGCGGTATCCAAGCTCGTCGCTGTATCACGGTCGTCTATATCTACCGGGGTGGCTCCGCGTCGGCGATGAGGCTGCGAGCGTTGACTCGTGTATCGTTGGCCGTTCAGTTTGTGATGGATGGAAACTTGATCCTTTGTGCTTGAATAAGAGCATAGGTGATTGGGAACTCGATTGGTCGTGGGGTGGGTGGGTTGGTGGTTTGAGGCCGCAAAAGGTTGGCAGAAACGAGCTGACTTCAGCGGGAGCCACCTACTTCTCTTCTTCAGCCAACAACACCACCGCGTACGCACCTCCTCGCAGCATCCAGGCGAGCTTCAGAGACCGTACCGCTACCGCAGAACCATCGTTTCGAAGCTGTGATTTGGAGCTACACGCCCGAGACGCCCAGTATCACGACTGCAACGCCGGAGAAGCTGCCGCTGCCTGCAAATTGGCCTTTTCTTTTCACCTTGCTGGGACACGACACACAGCATCAGTCCGTCCTCGATGACCGTTTGACATTGTCAAAAGTAGAAGCAGGTGCTGTGATCTGAAGGTACGACAATAGCATTGTTATCAATCGATTGATTCTAATAACGAGGGCTAGTACCTTGCCAGTCACTCCCGAATTCCGCGCTCCTCTCTTGTCCTTTTCCAGATCTTACCGTTCAACATCTCCGACCTCACTCACTCATAACACCTTCCAAAACGCAGCCATGGAGGCCCCAATATCCGACTCAATTCCCTACGAGTTCAGCATCTCCGACCCTAGCCCTGCGCCTGTGCTCGAAAGTGAACTTTATGAGAACTTAAAGAAGATAATGCGACACTACCGCAAGCACGGAGCATTGCCGAAAGGAGACAAACTCGGACACCTCAACGACCCAGAAATACTACAAATCATGCACAAATACGTCCTCGAAAACCTACACTTCCACTACATTCAACAGTTCGGGCCTGAGTGTCTCCTAATCGACAGGCGAGAGCACGGCTTGTCCGCTGTATGGAAGGATTGGCAGTTGAAGGAACGCGAGTGTCTAGTCGTCACTGCTCCCTGGGTAGACATTGAACTCAACGGCCACGTTATCGTCGAAAAGGTCTCACAAAGCATGATTGAGAAGATCGGGAACTTCAAGAACTACCCGTACGAGCACATGCAGGGGCTACCCAAAGGCCCAAACAACTCCCACATCTACCGAATACGGTCAAACAACCCCTTCCTGCCGGCCGCCATCAAGATCGTCGTAGGCTGGATGGAGCACGAAGTTCTGTGCCCGGGTCAGAAGTACTTCGGAGAGCGTATAGAGCCCAACGAAGACGTCTCCCTAAGGCACTCGCTCATCCACGCTTTGCGCGCTCTTGGTCTACTTTCTGAAGCGCATCGTATAGACTATTGGTTCAAGTTCTACCTGAGGAGACCAATGACACGGCTAGGGGCACGCGACGTACGCACAATCTGGCACGCAGAGGGCAAGAGGACCAACAACGTGTATGTCGAAGAACTCGCGAAACATCTGGCGCGAACGTCGTATCGGGAGGCACGCGGTGGTGCACGCGGTGGTGTCGACTTTCCCCTCGACTTTGGACGAAACGCACATATGGCAGACTTTCTGAACGAAGAGGGCAATGAGCGGCTGAAGGCACAAGTTGTGCGGTGGGATCCGACGCTTTCGGACCAAACAACGAGCGATGTGAGGGGCGAGTGGCCGGATGTGGTACTCGGCATGCCGGAAGAACAGTCAGATTTGGTGGAAGAAGCGGCCGAAGAGGGGGTAGATGGACGGCGGGTGCGAGCGCTGCGTCCCGACAAACAGCAGGAGATCTACCGAGAGCGTCTGGTTGCGCAGGGGCGGAGGTACTCGATGCCTACCCAGAATGGTACAGGAAAGAGACGAAGAGGAAGGATAATGTGCGAAAGACGCTCGGAAAGGTCCTGGTCAAGAAGGCGCCGCGTAAAGCTTTGGCGAGGCTGGGGGGCAAGGCGTGGTCGGATGTGGATAGGCGACCGCAGCTTTAGGGGGTTCTTCTGTTGCTAGTTTGGACGAAAGAGCGGACATAGAGGGCAGTAATGAGGTACAGATAGGTGAATACGTTCGACAAAGCGTGAGGTTAGAAAGTGCTGCTTTCGGGTCAAGATGTGCCGAAATGCTGGACGGTTAGTAGACTGTTGAAATCAGAATTCTCCTTCATCATTTTTGTCACCTGCTTGCCACTGTCTGGGGTGTCTCGTCTTGAAGCCCTCCGGATGTCATTTCCAGGACGTCTCTATTAGGTCAGGATTGAAGCGTTCTTGTCACACCTGGCTGAACGTCGTTAGGTGCCCTCCGCCTTTGCGAATCAGAGCAGCATGCAATGTCATGTTCGTGAGATGCAAAATCAGGTCGAGATCAAATCATTCTATTTTACACGTGCTCAACGCCGTTAGGGGATCTCCACCATGGTTAGGCTTTATTCCATCCGAGGTGCCCTCTCCACTTTCAAATCAAGACTCTTCAGAATGCGACGAGGCCAATCCCGAACGCGAACCTTCAGAAGCGTCTTCCGCAAGTCTGGCTTTACCCTCCGTGGCCCTCGAAGTGCCTCTGGTGCCGCCAGTCTCCAATTCCGGCGCCCGAGCTGAACCAACCGCTGTGGCCAAGCCTCCCCCTCATCCCCCTGATCAAACCCAGTCCCCCCATGCCGCTCCTCAAGCCTGCCCTGCCCTGACCCCCCCAACAGCGCCGGATTCGACTCCACAACCAATGCTTTCAGCGCCTCATTCCCCTTCTCATTCAACATCGCAGCAACATGGTAGTTCCGCCCAAAATCGATCGGGAGGTCAACTCCAAGCCCCTCATCTGCCTCCCGGTACGCCGTCCGCGCAAGGCACTTCGCCACGCCTCGGACGAATCTCGAGCTCGGGTTCCGCCTCTCCTCCACCCAAACTAGTTTCGCATACTTGCGCAGTACCCGCTTATCCGCTATCCATGCCTCGAATCCCTCCTCTATCGTCTTGGCCTGGGTATCGAACCCTAAGACCTGGAATGTGCGATACAGCCGGTACGCGAGCAGGACGCATCCCGTAGGGTTGATGCTCTCGATGAAGGCCTTGCATCCTCCGCTATGCGTAGTAGGACCGCACAGGCACTCGTACTCCATCCAGCCAACGACGATGAGGACCGTGACCGGCAGGTAGCTTAGCTTGGATATCAGAGCGAAGACGTAGGGGGTAGAGCTGTCTGCGTTTGCGCCCGACTTCCTCAGCAGCGAGAAGAACGGGGCGGAAGGTTCGAAGGCGAGGAGCATGTCGAAGGAGACCTTTTGGATGATGCGTTGGTCTTTGAAGTAGATGTCAACGAATGGGCCGGTGGCTAGGTAGCGTTCACGGTCCGGGCCCGGCTGCTGATACAGCGTTGGGAGGCCATATCGGGATTTGAGAAGCTCGAGAGGGCGCGTTTGATGATCGTGTGCGAGGACGCTCCCCGTAGCTTCGGGAGAATCGTGGCTGTGGGAATGGAAGTCTCTAAGGACGAACTCATGCAAGGTCTGGAGGACTTCGGGGTCGTTCAGACGGCCGTGCCTGTCTCTCTTGCCTTGATTCCGCTTCCCGTATCTGCGGTACTGCTTCACGACAGCTGAGGTCTTCTTTCGGACCTGGGCCTCGTGTTCGACCGGAATCGGGCGCATGATGAATCGATAGGGGGCCATCTTCGCGATAGCCCCTGGTGGCGTGGATTTTGGTGGTGGCGTAAGCACGGAATCGTGTTGTGGCAGTTGGTCTCTGGTGGTAGAGGTGAAGGCGTCGACGAAAGACGTGGTTTTTGCTGAGTTGTCAAATTGATAGCACATTCACCTGGACCAGGATCGAACACACGTGAAGGCTTTCCGTCTGATCTCGCATTTCATGAAGATGACGCTACCTCCGGTTACTATTCACCAAGCCGGAGTACCTCTAACGGTGGTGTTGAGTGAACAAAAGCGGAGTTCGAGTAGCGAGATATCCATGTACTCGTCTTTTTCTCCACGCAATGGAAGTTGGGCTCTCTTTTGGCTGGGGATTGAATTACTACCTAGGCGCTTCCTGACGGCGGCGAACAGGTGTCAAACGCATTGCTTCTGCATTCTGATTCCGAAGGCAGCGGTTGTGTGGAGGAATTGCTGCTTCTGGTTTCACATCCACGAACAAGACATTGCCTCATCTTTCGATTCAACAAGGCGGAGAACTCCTAACGGCGTTAGATGATTAAAAGGGGGGCTGAGGTCTTGACTCAGTCTCGCATTCCACGAACATGCTATCGCTTTCAGTTCCAAGTGACCAAGGCGGAGTACCCCTGGCGGCGTCAAACAGGTGTAAAGGAGTGGTAATTTCCTGCTTTTGATCTCACATCACATGGACATGAACATCGCTTTCATTTTCGAGTCACTAAGGTAGAGTACCCCTACCGGCGGTGAATAGGTATAAAAGGAGTGCTAAACCTCTTCTAATTTGGCCGCTCATGAACATGAAATTGCGTTCAGATGCTATCCACCAAGGCAGAGTACCCCTAACAGTGTTAGACAAGTAGAAAAGGGATGCTGAGATCCTAACCTGATATTGCATCTCACGAACATCACCTCTTGTTTCTATTCACCAAGGCGGCGGACTCCTAACGGCGGTAGAACGGTGTGAAATCAGTGTTACTAGGATGTATGTGAAACGAGACTAGCTTACTTCGACGGAATGCATTACATGCCTGGTGTTACCCCGCCTTGTTATAGGCCTCGGGAAATCATTTGGAATAGTAAGGAATCCCCGTGAATTAGAAGCCAGTCAACTCTTACTTGAGTAAGCAAGAAGCACGAACTATAGATCAAAGGCTAGAGTTGTAGAGTTTATGAAGAGTATGAGATTACTCATCTAGTAATACACTCACTCAGAAGATGTAACGTCTCTCTATGCCAAGAAGAAATAACTAGCTTTACGCGAAAAACCGTGAATGCCTCCTATCTAATGCTGCTCATCATCCTAAGTTGGGCTAAGCAGCCCGCACTCCCCAAAATGCGGACCATCGAGTTGGTTGGGTCCTCCGAATCTAGAATACGAGCCCGCTCGATGCTTGGGTCCTTCAACGACACGCGACCTGTTTACACCACCAGCAAGGTGCATTCCCGCCATTGAGGCTGCAATTTCTTACTCGTTAGCCCCTCCAGTTCCAGTATACATAACAACGCCTTCTTGAGCGAGTAAGATAAAATAACAGAAGGAAAGGAGATCTGAAGCGGCCTTAATAAAAATCATGAGTGTTTGCGCGAGTCGAGCTTGGGAAAGACATGAGATGGAAAAGGTATGAAACTCTACGGTACGATGTTTGCACGTTGGAAAAGCAAGCCTATAGATAGGACTTTTACGGACTTAAAGTCTAGTGATTAGATGTGACTACGATGTTGACGGCGGCCATCAACCTTATAAAGGGATAGTGCTTCATACCGCGAGAGAACGAGTTCAGAGTCTACCAGCAGTCTCAGAACTATATGCTAGAATAGAGCACTTTCATAAACTGGATAGGATGGTGGCGGTGAAGGAGAATATGTGGAATGGAAGTCGCAATTGGCTTTCTCTCCGCGCCACAGCTAGCGGTATTGGCTCTAGCGTTCCTCCGCAGCTGAACGCCACTGCCTAGGCGCAGGGACAAGATGACGTTGGCAGAACGAACTTACTCTTTCTTGACGTCTGAAGGCTAAACATGTTCATCCTATTCAAATCCCCTCATGAGCTCTCCTACCCTTTCGCCTGCCCAGGCGCACGCGCTCTTCGACATCTTAACCCACAACGAGACGTACGCTGAGATCGAGAACTTCAAGTGGCCCGAAGCCATCGACAACTACGGACACCCTTTCAAGAAGGAAGACGGCGTGCAGACCACCTCTCCACTACTCCAATTACTCCTCAACAAATTCGTGCTGAAAATTCCCGGGCTCGCGAGTGTGCCATTAGACTTCTGGCAAGAGAGATGCCGCACACTGGTTGCGAAGCTGGCCGAGGCGGAGCTCTCAGAGAGTTATGACAAAGGCGCTATTGGGTCGAGGAAGACTCTGGCAACCGCTATATCTGCGATACTGGAATACGTATCGAGAGGCTGTCTGGGAGGGTACCCTCAACATGCGCGGCCCGGGCCAGATCAGCAGTACGACACCTCCAACGCGGACGATGTCATGCAGGCATGGGACGATGCAATGCAGGAGATGATATATGGAGACCTACTAGATGAGCTCTTCGATAAGGCTGCAGAATCGGAGCATCTAGAAGGCCACTCTTCTCTTGTTCAGGGCGCACACGAATACATACTGATCAAGTGGGTCTCTGCGCAAATGCCCAACAATTTGCTAATACTACTTTAGCCTAGCGTCCTTTCTACACCATGTATTTGTTCTCTCTCCCGATGGCCAGTACCTCCTCCGAGTTATCGAGAATGTGCATAGGCTTGTTCCATACTCGATGGCTAGGCAGACGTTGAAAGTGGGCAATGCGGCTACCATGATCAATGGAATGTTGAAGTTGGTGCTCACAAAGCTGAGCGTGACGGCTTTTACGAATTGGATAGGCATAAGTAAAAGTGCGGACGACGGCATGAACCTACTTCAACAGTATGTGAAATCCTCGCATAATGTGCCTAGCATGCGGTCTATCTAGCTACGAACCTACTAGACAAAATGGTTCTTTTACTTAGTCATCTGCATTAAGCTAACGATATGTCATAGGATCCTTTCTACAGTCATGTCGTGGGATAATGCCGAGTTCCAAAAACGAGCCAGTCAAATCGAGAAAAGCAAGGACTTCATCGACAGAGACCAGCTGAAGAGCGTAAAATCGCATGTGCGAGCACCCCGCGAGGAGCGTGACAGGCTACGCAGCATAAGTATCGAGCAATCGAAATCCATTGTCACTGTGATCCTCGAATCCTCCGATCCGCCTCTTCCTTCCGATCTGCCCGATACAGAGCATGCATATGCTTTGGAATATTACAGCACACATTTGTCGATAAGGGATCGAGAAGAACTCACGAAAATCTTGTGCCGCTTACAGCCAGACCTGCTTACGCAGGCGATTCGAGAACTCGTCGCAGCCTATGATCCAATCATCCGAGCCATTCACAATGCTGTGGACCTGAGCGGTACTCTGACCGATCTTGAAAACTTCCTCGCCGAATTGATAAAGATGAGCAAGCCCCAGAAGCAAACCAATGGTGAGCCGGCTCCGAAAGACGCCCAGCAGTCTCAGTCCGGGGATCACCTCCCGTCCGTGGAGGACTACGTGACTCTCTTGCGAAAGCACATGCCCTCAGCCCATCGCTTTCTTCACCAGATTGCAAAGAACGGACCAAAAGTTACAGAAACTTACCGCAACTTTGCAAAAGAGGCAGCCGCGGAGTTCCGAGATCCTAGTCCGCCAGTTGTCGAGGACGACACCAAAGCCTCGGCCCCCGAAGCCACACCATCCGAGCCTGCTGCAGGAGCCATGACTGCCCCATTGACTGCTATTTTTGGCACGCTTTCTGATGCGGATCAGAAAGACGTTCTTACTGTGCTCGACAGTCACGCGAAATATCTATCAGCCCTAAAATCCTCGTCGGCGGCGCGAATGAAGTCAATTATTGCAAACAAGTCATCCACAACTTATGGTCCCGGCATGTATCTTGCACGGTGGCACTCTTTGATCGACGACACTCCCATCACTCCTGCGACTGCAAACGGGCCGGTGAGAACGGGAAGGGAGGTCAAGGGGGAGATGGATCGAAAGCTACACAATGGAGGGGAACCCGATGAAACTGGTGAGAATCTGGCAACCAGCGCCGAAGTGTCAAATGCACCAGATGTTACTTTGGTGGTGGAAAAGCTAGGACCGTACTTCAAAGAGGTTCTCAAAGGGATGGAGATCATGGGCTGAAGAGCTCGATACTCAACTGTAAAGTATAACTGTCAGGGAGGAGCGGTATGGACGTGGCAAGCACGTGCATATAGCCTCGCCTTCCCACAGACCTCTTCTCCTCTACATCTTCATCCTCATCATGAAATACAACACGTACAGCGTCTACTCCCCTGTTCCGTGCAATAACTGTGAGCGTCTGCGATTTCTTAACTTCTTACGGGTAGAAATGAACTCGAATAGCGCTTCAAGGCGCTTGTTGATTAGATGATGAGGAAGCCTCAATTTATGAGTAAGAGGAAAATTCCAATGGGCGTCGCCGTATGTACAGTAGTCCGCCACTGTCTGAAGGGCCTCGACACCTTTTACAGCCTCTAAACGAAGCCTGCGCCCATCGTTTTGGATAGCCGGTAAACTCGCCAGGCCGCCTCAGACGGTGTCATATACCACTTGAAAAACCATCCGGGCTCCCCTGTCTCCGATGTCTGAAATATGACTGACTGCACAGCCTCCAGACCAGTCCGCAGACGGAGCTTCAACCCTGTTTAGGCCAGTTTCAGTAGAGCATGCACATAGAGAGCCTTCATAGCATGTTACTCGATCTACGCCTCGGCTTGATTTCTAGTGAGCATGGTTCCTCCGCTTGAGCCTGGGTACACTTTCTTGCGTGATCTTTCTCTTTTTCTTTATACCTTTCTACCCCTGCTTGAGGTACTTCAAATCGTTTTCGAAGATTCGAAAACGATCCAAACTTATCGTTTTGAAGGAGCGGTGAGCTCGCTGGGCCACCTCAAATGGTGATATAGACCTGTACATAAAACGACTTCCTAGCGCTCACAACTTCGGCCTATTCGCATGCCAACGACTTATGCAAATTGCTGAGGCATAGATTGCGCTTGTCCGCAGTTATCTACATTACCACGATTCTGGAATCGCTTGGAGGACCTCCAAGTGGGTATCCTAGTAGTTTAACTCAATTACTGTGGCATTGTGTTTATTGGAATACGTCGTTTTGATATTGCCCGTGATGTCTCGATATACTACTACCGGGCTAGAAATACAAGTCACAGGTCCGATCTATTTACACCTTTCTACCACCGCCTGAGGTGATCCAGCTAGGTTTCAGGCCTGTCAAAGCGATATATTTGAATCTCTTTTGCGTTAACAAAAGCTCTTCGAGGCCCCTCAAACGGTGTCAAGGAGGTGTAAGAAAATGGGTGTCCTGAGACTACAGTACACAGTATGGGTTTAGATGTCGGTCTCCTCTGCAGACTTTATCCCTTAACCCATCATAGCGCAATGCTTAGACTTAGGATCAAGCTCCGTTGAACATAAGGTGGCAGTCCGACACCGTTTGAGGTAGCCCGCAAAGCTATTCGCCTTGTCAATATTATCCTTTTCCGATGTTTCATAACATAGTAGAGGACTTCAAGTGCTACTAGGCAAGTGTACAGAAATCCAAGAGGAAGCGTGTTGCTTAAGTATTTCGCTGTAGTTCTGATCACTCGAAGGTTTCTATTGGCTGTATCTTTATAGATAACGTAGAGCCAAATGCGACAGGTTAAAGGATACTTCTCGATGAAAGTGAGATTCTCGGACCATGACCTCCGGGTGCCACGTAGTGATGTATGAGCCCGGCGGCATGTGAGTTCGATATCATAAACACGTCGTGTCAAGATTCTGTTGATAATGCCGATTGGGCGTAGTTTACGTCGAATATCACTGCAGCCTGATGGTAGAGGAGGCCTGGCAGGTATCCTTGAACACAAAGTGGCAGTCCACGAGCCTCTGTGCTATCATATAACATCCGGTGCTCCAAATACACAACTTCTATGAATTTACGTACACTTGCCTAGCACTGTTTGACGTCCCCTGGTACGGTATGAATAATTAGAAAGCGACAATTTTGACAAGCCTGATAGCTCCTCTGGCCACCTCAGACGATGTCAGAACGGACTACCAGATTGCCACTTTATGTTCCACGAAGCCTGACTGGACACCTAGGGTGATAGGTTGGAGTTTCGCGTAGCGAGCCCGCAGTCACATGATCGCAAATCCCTGATTCACGAAACGCAACTGGGCAGCGTACACAGGACAATATTAGGACAAAATGCATAGCGGCACAGGTGATAGAGATAAAAGGCTCCGCTACCTTCTGCACCTCGTATGATATTGAATTTGCTGTGGCCGATACCGGGCGGACAATCATGGTCGGGATGATGGTGGCCGAGCCAATCACTGCCAACAATATCCACTCTTACAGGTATCGTTTTGTCAAATGTCTTTGTGATAGAACTTATGCTTATTTATTTCCGCAACATTCAAAATCATCAGCTCAGTGGCGCAGCGGTAAGAATCACTTCATGCCATGTGACATTACTCTTGCTAAGACTTAATAGGAAGCGTAAGAATAGCCACAAACAAGCTGCCTATGATCGATATGCTAATATCTATTAGGCGCCGGGCTCATATACGCTATGTGCTACCCGGAGGACTGCGGGTAAGTCAATACAAGCACCTGGTTTCGAATCCCGCTAAGACCATATTAAGATCGAAACCGCACTGAGCTAGTTCTCACCATTCTTTTTGCATTTTCTTTTCACTTAGAGCGCCATCAAGTGGCTGGCGTTCTCATCTTTTTGCTCTCGTTGCTTTATGACAGATTTATTTGGGCGGGGGCATTCCTGAGTGCGGGGACCCACTGTGAAGGCCACCATCCGCGAACCGAGAACTCCAGCAGTACAAATCACGTTGAATAGTTTCTTGGAACGTATGGGAACGGATTCGAGCCATTTTTATGGTATAGAGGAATGTCTTATAGCATAAAGTTTTGAAGTGATGTTCACCACTTCGATTTTGCTCCCCAGGAGGTCGTTCGGCACTGAAACTGTAGGTCAATTTTACATTGCGTCTTTACGCGGCCGCAAATAATCATGGACCGTGTGTTCACTTCGTAAAAGTTGTTCACTGTTCGGTTTTTCATGTACGATGGTCTAGCTATTGAATTTTTCACTCCAACATCCCTCCTCGGATAGAGGGGATGCCCGATTCGTGGGGAGTTTGTAAATTGGCACGTCTTGACAATTAAGAGTCCATGAACAACTCGACCCGATAACGAGGCGCGGTCTGAGATGGCCTGGCAAGCTGAGTGACTGTCCAGAATGATACGCTTGTGCCCGGTTTACAGTTGTGAAAATTCATTGAAGCACTTCAGACAGTGACAGACAAGCGTACGCCTACCCATGACCTAGATTTGAGCAAGCCAAAAACCGCCGTACTACAAACTTCCGATTCGCAGGAGTATTGACGCAAAGCCATCAAGGAACCCCATAGGGACAGTTGAAAGTAGAATTAACACTTGGAAATATCTCCTGGAAAGGGGTGGATCGATACGCTATCGCAGCAACATGCAAATAGTGCAAGCAACGATTCGCTCTGCTCCCGTCCCAATCTTGGTTCACTCAAAGAAACTGACCTCATAGAACCTTGATTGTATCCAGGAGGCCCAAATTTAGACATGCCAAGTCTGCCTTCCACCCTTTAGGAGAAACAGCTGGAAGTCAGGGTCCAAGACATTTGTAGTATATAAACTCGTCATTTACAGCGATCCAAGGCCGTTGCCGTGATGCTCGATCATTTTAGTTGGACTCGACACCAGGTACTTAAATTAACAGACCGCAGCCCCGGGGTAGCACACAGTGTATATGAGCCCGGCGAAATCATGATATTGTAGGGTTTAGGATAGTAGAGGTACTGGAACATTCCTTTGAGGTATAGTCCTACAAATTGTTTGAAGATGGCAAAGTAGCTCTGGGTCGCGGGGACCTCACCTGCAGAAGTTCGAAGCCCCCCACAACCCCTCAGCCGGCAGCCGAGCGTCTTGGAGCTGCTCGCCCAGTTGTCATATGTCGCCCAGCACCCGCCGTCTGCCTGTCTGTCGCTTCTGCAGTCTGTTCTTTGACTAACCGCAAAACTTACACCCGGACGATCCGCCGGAGTTGCTCCCTTCGCGCCCTCTATCTGCCTCCTCGCGTTGCCATCAAACGAGCCAGCGCACTCCCACACGTGGCCCGCGGCAAAACACCCAGACGCCGCCAGGACGCAGACGGTAGCAGCCTGTGAGGAAAGCTGTCTGAGTCGTCGGCGTCCGCCTGGGGCAGCTGAGCAGCCGGTAGACTGCTGCCACGACACGCTGTGAGCCGCATTCACTCCCGCCACAAGCACCGTCTTGTCTTCGCCACGACACGACGCACAACGACTAACTGGCTAGGATTCACAGCATAGCCCTGACACCCCCGCCCTTTTGCGCCGTCCCGCTGTCGAGAAAACAAGACGCCTCCCCTGCACATCAGCGCGTCCGCCAGACCGATCTCTTTCCCCCCTCGTCTCCTGCTGCATATCAGCAAGCCACCCACCCTCCGGATCTCGCCATGGCGTCTGCAATTGACGACGAGGATCTCTCCATCTCTATATCCTCGAACCCGCGCCGTAATGCGCCCAGGCCTCCCGAGGCAGACAATGTCCTCTCGCAAGCCCGGCGCCAGGACCCCACCACGATGCAGGCGCGAGCGATCCGAAGTGACCGCATAGGCCAATATAACATTGTGAAGACACTCGGGGAGGGGTCCTTTGGGAAGGTCAAGCTGGCGATACATCGCGTCACCGGGCAAAAGGTCGCCCTCAAGATCATAACGAGGAGGAAGCTGGTTACCAGAGACATGGCTGGCAGGATAGAGCGGGAGATCCAGTACCTTCAGCTACTGCGCCATCCTCACATTATCAAGCTGTACTTATAAGTCCCTCCCGCCCATATCAGGAGTGGATCTGCTAACACGGTGAAGATATACTGTTATCACCACGCCTCAGGAAATAGTCATGGTCCTCGAATACGCCGGTGGAGAGCTCTTCGACCATATCGTACAGAACGGAAGATTTCCTGAATGGAAGGCTCGGAAGTTCTTCCAGCAAATCATATGTGCAGTGGAGTATTGCCATCGACACAAGATCGTCCATCGAGATCTGAAGCCCGAGAATCTGCTCCTCGACGAGGATCTGAACGTCAAGATCGCGGATTTTGGACTGAGCAACATCATGACTGATGGAAATTTTCTGAAAACAAGCTGCGGGAGCCCCAATTACGCGGCCCCTGAAGTGATATCCGGGAAGTTGTATGCCGGGCCAGAAGTCGATGTGTGGAGCTGCGGTGTTATCCTATATGTTCTGCTTGCCGGACGGCTTCCGTTCGATGATGAATACATTCCCACCTTATTCAAGAAGATTGCATCTGGCAACTACAGTATTCCGCAATTTATTCCGCCTGGTGCAAATCAGCTCATTAAGAAGATGTTACAAGTCAATCCAGTCCATCGCATCACAATCGCAGAGATACGGCAAGATCCATGGTTCAACGTGGACCTGGCTTCTTATTTACAGCTACCGGCGGACGAATTCTTCGATACCGGAGTTGATCCAAATAAGGCCATCGATCCCAGAATGCTCGCTCCTTCGAAGCCCGCTGCTGTGGTACAAAAGCTGCACGAGACGGTTGTTGGTAAATTGGGCAAGACTATGGGTTACGCCAAGCACGATGTTCAAGAGGCATTGGCTAAGGATGAGCCAAGCGCCATCAAAGATGCCTATCTGATTGTCCGCGAGAATCAAATCATGAAGGAAAATCGTAAGTCACATGAGCTTTCTTCGTATACATTCCGTGAACCCACCGCTTCTGGTCGCTTCTTGGACCCCCCGCCTACAGGTCTGATGACCTAGTATGTCGTACCAATGACCTGGTCGTACCAATGTCAATACTCTCAACCTTCTGGAATGTACCTTTAAAAGCCAGATTACTGACTTGGAGTGCAGCGCTTCTGTCCCAAGAGACCACGCTACAGCCCTTCCTGGCACAGTCTCCGCCCAATTACGACGACCAAGGGCTGTCGCTTTCAGCAATGGCTAATCAACCTCAAGTGATACACCCGGGCGGGTCCGATCGGCCGCGCCACGGCTCGACCTCGAGCGGTCAGGCCATAATGGATGCTCGAAGCCCTGTGAGCACAATCGCCGTCTTACCAAGTAGTCTTCCAGAATTCCATCAGGCCTATATGAAGGGCCACCCACACCCTTCCCAAGCAACGACCGCCGAATATGGCTCAGAAGGTATCCCGAATGTCGAGCAATCCAATGAGCAAAAGGCTGCAACAGCTCGACGTCTCAAGCCTCATTCACGACCTATGGGAGGTGACAAAGTGACTGGGAAACCAGAGCCTATGACTGCTCTGAACTCGAAGAAATCTCGACCGACGAAGTGGCAATTTGGTATTAGATCTCGTAACCAGCCAGCAGAGGCGATGTTGGCAATATACAAGGCTTTGCGAGCCATGGGTGCAGAGTGGGAAGTCCCCAAACGCCGGAGGCCCGGCGGCGGGAGCGGGTCGCGTAGCCGTAGCAACTCCCACGACTCGAGAGACCCGTCGAAGTCACAATCTGACGGCCATTCACGATCTTCTTCAAAGTCATCCCGATCTTCGGATTTCCAGGATCAAGCTTATTCGAGAGAGGGGTCCCGGTCCCCTTCCGGTCGAGAGCCGCTCTCAGTGAGAAACTCAACAAGCAACAACAACCTCAGCCCATCTCGAGGCAGGCAGAGGAAGCAATACAACGAGCAAAACGACTGGGGCTACGCCATCTCAGAGGACCCCTGGGTCATCAACGCCCGGTTCAGGAAAGAGGGCATGTTCCCACCCGGCCTCGCCCACCCCTCCTCAACCCACTCCTCGCGCGTAGACCTCATCGATCCAGCGGGCTACCGCCGTAGGAGCTCGACAAACACAAGCCACTCCAGCCTGAACGTGGACGCTGCCAACGCCGCATCCGTCCACCCGGGCCACCCCGAAGCGCTGACGAAACCCGGCGACGACACGACGAAGCACCCAGAGCCCAACGAAGCCGTGTGGGTCTACCTCAGCATCCAGCTCTACAGCATCGACCGCGACTTTTTCCTCGTCGACTTCAAGTGCGCCGGCTACGAGCGCCTCGTCCCGCGCCTCGTGCGCGAGATCAGGATCAGGTCCGCGAACGTCAGCGTGACGGACGCAACAGACGACGCCGCCGCTGGCGGGGCCCACCCGCACGAAGAGGGCGGCGGCTACGAGTGGCACCGGCTCGCGGAGGGCGAGCCGCTGCCCGCGGAGGTCGAGAACGGGTCCGTGAGGGGCGTAATGCGGGAGACAGAGGAGGAGGTTGGGGCCGGGCGCGCGCAGCTGGAGAAGCGGGCGACGAGTCCGTTCCCGTTCCTGGATGTGGCCGGGCGGTTGATCATCCAGTTGGCTGAGGGTGAGTGAGTTTGAAATGTCGTTGATTTCGCGGCGCGCACGCGCCTGCTGTGTGCGGAGAAACCGAATTCGATGGAAAGTGATCTTGTTTATTAATGTACCCGTTTTTGGGGGATGGCAGGGGATGAGTATGGCTTGCATGATGGGGATGCAGTGCGCGAGGAAGATACCGAGCCGAACGGTAGGTGCGAGCGCTTCTCACAATGGTCTATGCTATGAGGTGTCAACGGTTTATTAACGAGGCATGATTGAGCGGTCCGAACTGCTACTCCGAACAGCGACGACGGCTTGGAAACCGAAGGAGTGGGGCTCATTGAACTACTAGAGTTTTTCTGGGGTGGATGGGCTGGGTTGGGCTGTCTAGGACGACAACGGCTTTTCATGAATGGGTTGGGTGGGGGGGTTTGTTTGAGTACTGGGAGGTCAAAATGGGCACTGCGAAGGTGCTTTCAATAACGGTTAGGGGGATTGGGTGGGTTTTTGAAGGGGCCGTGGTGCACTCACTCGTGCGAGGGCTTTTCTCTCCACTCTGTTGATGAGACCAGTTCGGATGGATAGCAGTTAATGCATTACGAGCGAGATGTGTGTAGTTTAGATGAATTGTCTAGAGATCTCTGGAATTCTCAAAAGATTACTGGACTTGTCAATTTATAGTATACACTAACTCGATAAACATCCACAATGACTAACCCTGAGGAGTATCGGTATGTAAATCCCCTGCGAGCAAGGCCTGCTGTCGGTAACATCCTACAATATCACAACCAAAACGTCGCTTTTTTGATTCCTTTTCATGCGTCCAGCTCATCCCCTCACAGTTTCGACCGCCTCTGCAAATACAGCCTCACAGAAACAGCAACTACGCCGCGTCAGTCTCTATCCTGCAGAGCCCACTCATCAGCAAAAAAGAGGAACTTACAAATCAGCACCGCCAACCCCAACCCGGGCTTACCTGTCGCACCGCCCACCAGCCACTTGAGCCACCCAATCCGCTTCCCCTGGCGGTCGAAATTCGGCTTGCGCGCGTTCATGCCCGCGGCCTTTTTCTGCTTGGCGAGCGAGTACGGCGGGTACCGGATGGCCAGCAGGCCCTCCACCCAGCCGGGCGTGGTGGTGATGCTGCGGCGGTGCGTGAAGGTTTCGAACGAGGCGCGGCCGTGGTAGGCGCCGGTGCCAGAGCCGCCGACGCCGCCGAAGGGGAGCGTGGGGATGGAGAGGTGGAAGCAGCCGTCGTTCACGCCGGCACCACCGGAACGGACTTGGGAGAGGACTGGGGGTATCGCGTTAGGGGTGGTTGGCGAGGAGGGGGGGTGGGATACAAACCTTTTTCGGTCTCTTTGCTGTTGCCGAAGGGGTAGATGGCCAGGGGGGTGCCGTCGACTTCGTTCGCGATCTGGATCGCCTCGTCAAGATCTGTGACGGCGAAAACGGGGATGAGGGGGCCGAAGCTTTCGTCTACGACTAGGCTGTCTGTTAGGCTGTCGACTTGCACGACTGTGGGCTCGAGGAATAGATCTTTTTCGGACATGGTTCCGCCGAGGAGGATCTTTCCTGAGGTCTCGTCGAGCATCTTCTTTAGTCGGGTGAACTGCCTCGTGTTCACAATCTTGCCGTAGTCTGGGGAGTTTTGTGCGCCGTTGGGGTAGAATTCTTTCAGCGCAATCTTGATCTCCTTTATGAAAGCCGGTAGGATCTCTTTGTCGATTAGGATGTAATTCTGTGATACGCAGACCTGGCCGGCGTTCAGAATCTTGTTCCACAATAGTCGTCGCGCAGCAAGCCTGTAGTCTCGGGTCAATTTCTCTGATCCAAAAAATCTCTTATGGTTGATATTACCTAGGGTCCGCATTTTTCGATATTATAGCTGGATTCTTGCCACCAAGTTCCAACGCCACTGGTGTTAGCGTCTCAGCTGCCTTCTTCGCGATGATGGTGCCGACATTGGCGGAGCCGGTGTAGAATATCTTATCCCATCTCTGATCAAGCAATGCCGTAGTTTCTGGAATAGCACCCTGGATGACAGTATAGGCGGTCGGATCGAGATGTTCGGCAATGATTTTTTGCATGACAGCAGCGGCATTGGGCGCAGCTTCAGAGGGTTTCAGCACGGCGGTACATCCAGCAGATATAGCTCCTATCAAAGGTCCGAGGGAGAGCTGGATGGGGAAGTTGTATGCTCTGTTGTGTGTGCACTTGTCAGCACTGATGCTCGTGTATTTCATCAACCAAGATTATATTGGGAATTCTTACCCAATGACCAAGACTGTTCCGAGCGGGTCTTTCCGAATCTTAGGACCAAACAACTTATTAGCAAGCGCAACATCCTCCGCCGGCTCGTCCTTTGCAAACTTCTCCAGGTTGTCTGCGAGGTATATGATGTCGTTCATGACCATGCCGAGCTCGGTAAGGTGGGTCTCGAAGCTCGACTTCCCGATGTCGCGTTTGCACGCTTCGACGATGATGTCTTGGTTATCATGCAAGCTGTATAGAAGCTCTGTTAGCCTGAGTCTCCAGAGCTGCAGGATTGGTTGCTCACTGACCCCCAGTATAGCTTGCGTAGCTGGACACGACGGTACTCGAGCGGCCTGCTCTTGTGCGCCCGGAAAGTCGCACGGATGCCATTGACGATAGCTGGAATGTCCTCCAGGGGAGTGTGCTCGAAGAGGGGGAGGGTAGCCATGGTGCTGTTCAGTGTTCAGGCTTCAGGATTGATGGTGTGGAGCAGGATTGATGGTGTGGAGCAGGATTGATGGTGTGGAGCAGGATTGATGGTGTGGAG